TAAGGTGACATACTGAAAGGTCCTAAGATTAGGACGTGACATCTTGGGAGCTGTTATTCTGTCTACTACGGAGGCGTGTATTATTGCCACCGATTTTACAGATGATAATTAGGAGGCCACAGACAGGCTACGGCACATGTTCAGGGCACCGCTCCCCGCCCACAGCGGAGAGTGTTGGGGTTTGGGATCTGAGCCCAGGACATCCTGGAAACCAAAGCTCTCAACCCCATCAGACCAGGGCAGAGTTGATGAGGCCACGAGACCTCTGCTGGGGACTCCAAAGAGGGGAAACTGAGGCTCAGGAAGGCAGGTAACCTGTCTAAGGCTGTCAGCTCTTGCCAGGGTCAGTGCAAGTGTGGGAGCCCAGGCCTCGAGCCTACCTCCCAGGTGTGTGGGAAATGGTTGTTCTGTCTTCCCCACTGTGCCTTCTCAAGGTGAAATCCTGCTCACACACAGTCCCTGCCTCATCATCCCAAGCCTATTTTTAGGGCTGGGCTGCAGATACAAGAAGGTGGCAGGGGTCGCTTTCATACAGGAGTTTACTGAGGGCTCCCGCTCCCGTGAGTGCTGTTGAGATGGAGATTAAATGGTCAGACTCGACCTGGGCCCTGGGACAAGACACATAGCACCCCCTGATGAGGCCCTAAGTCTGCAGAGCTTCAGATACCGGCCTCCTGGGTGCAAGGATGCTGGGGCACTGGTGGGTTGCAGTTGGAATGAACAGGTTGACATGAGCATCACAGACAGGAAAACTGAGGACACACCAGGTCTCTAGCAGGAGGGCCCTGCCCCGGGATGCTGGCGCTGGACTTGGGTGCAGATCGAGCGCCAGGATGGGGCCTGGCACTACCTCTTCTCCTTTGAGGCTCAGGAGATGTCAGTTGGCTTGAAAACCGGCCAGACTAAATATAGCTGTGAAACTTCTGAACACATTATTCCAAGTGTCCGATAATTAATGCTCAACAACACACAGTCTTCCAGGAAAGCCAAATCCACTCTGGAATGTCCTGTGGGGTGGGCGGGGGTCGGCATTGTGGGAGGAGGCATGTGGGTCCCTGATGGACCTCAGAGCAGACAGATGGACGCTGGCGAGCATGTCCTCAGCCCCCATAGTGCTAAGGATTGGTTGAGGTTGGCACCTCCTGTTGGATCAGGCCGCCCTCAGGAGGCTGTGGGAGATGGGAGCCCAGCCCCAGGGAAGCCATGGCTCTTTTCTGCTGCCTCTGCAGTGGAAGCTCTCCTTGCCTGCCCTGGTTCTCGAGGGAGCCCCCTCACCCCACCCGGTCTGTCTGAGATACTCCTGCCCATCTTCCCAAGGACTAGCCCACCAAAGCTGTAGGCCTCGCCCACCTTCCTCACGCTCGCCGCAGAGGGATGTTTGCTGAGCACGTGTGGGTGACAGATGGAGGCTTCTGGAGGGAGGCATAGACAGAGGTTCCTCGGCTCTAGCCCTCCCTGCTCCTCCCAGCCCCGGCCCAGGCTCCCAGCAGCTCCCGTGGAGCTGGCAGTCCCTGGACTCACCCTGACCCACCTGCACTCCAGGAAGGTGATCACTCCAAAGGCTCCCAGAAGGCCATTTACCTTCCCCAGGCTGTTTTCTCTGCCAGTGGGGGGCGAGGCTGCCCACAGCTCAGGTCAGTTTGCAGAGGAGAAAGAAACAGCCCCAGGCCCTGGCTGCTGGCGCCTCCCAGCTGTGCCCCTGAGTCCCCTTTGAGCCTGCGCTCTCCTCTTCCCCCACTGCCTCTTGTAGGAGGGCTGGGTGACCTGCAGGTCTCCACCTGGCCCTGTCCCATGGGTCAGCAGCAGGCGATTTCCACAGGGCACCGGGGTGTGGACGCAGGTGGGTCCAGCGCAGGGCCGTGGCCCTGTCCCATGGGTCAGCAGTGGCGATTTCCATACAGGGCGCCGGGTGTGTGGACACAGGTGGGGTCCAGCGCAGGGCCAGTGGGCCCTGTCCCATGGGTCAGCAGTGGCGGCATTTCCATACAGGGCGCTGGGTGTGTGGACACAGGTGTGGGTCCAGTGCAGTGGCCGGTGGCTCCCAGCACCTCCGCAGGGCTTTCCTGGCTTTCTGGGAGCTGGCTTCTGCCTCTGTCACCTGGGCTCTCAGGCGGTCCCTGGATAGTGGCTCTAATGGAGGTGCAGGGGGTCAGGGAGGCTGCCTGGGGAGTGGAGGACCAGGCTTGCGGGGCTTCCGCGCTGAGTGGCCTATTTCACCGCCTGCAGGGCCAGACTCCAGGAGACCCTGAACCGCCTCGTTGTCTGAGCAGCCATGCGCAGGGCTCAGCGCCCTCCACCTGAGCCCTTCACGGGGCCCGGACCCTGCTGGGTGGGTTGGGAGGGATGGGGGTTGCGGGGTGGGGGTGGGGTTCCGGCAGGCGACGCGACCTCCTGGATGGGTTGGGGGTGCGGGGTGAGGGCGGACAGGCGATGCGCGCTCCCCTGGTGGCCTTGCGGAGCACTTCGGGACCTGGGTCTGCGAGGGCTTCCAGGAGGTGCTGGCATTCGGGACCCAGCCAGCACCAGGGCTTTAGGTCGCCGGACCCAGTGTGACTCCAGCTGGTTGCAAACAGACTGAATCTCCTCTCCCAGGGCCACCAGCACCCGAGCGTGTACAGAGCATGGATGGGCCCCGGAACTCTCATTTCTTCTTGTTGGCATGGTGCGTTGATGGGTGGGTGTCAGTGGGGTGGATGTTGGTGATGGGTGGTGTCGGGTGAGTGGGGTGTTGGCATGGGTCCATGTTGGGGTGGGTGGGTGTTGGCGTGGGTCCGTGTTGGTGTGGGTCCTGTTGGCGTGTGTGTGGGTGTTAGTGGTGGATGCTGGGGTAGGTCTGTGTTGACGATGGGTGGGGTGTTGGGGTGGGTGTTGACGATGGGTGGGTGTTGGGGTGGGTGGGGTGTTGACGATGGGTGGGTGTTGGGTGGGTGGGTGCTGCGTATGGGGTGGGTGTTGGGGTGGGTGGGGTGTTGGCGAAGGGTGGGTGTTGGGTGGATGGCTGTTGGGGTGGGTCAGTGTTGGGGTGGGTCAGTGTTGAGGTGGGTGAGTGTTGGGGTGGGTGAGTGTTGGGGGTGGGTCAGTGTTAGGGGTGGGGGTGTTGGGGTGGGTCGTGTTGGGGTGGGTGGGTGTTGGGGTGGGGTGGTGTTGGGGTGGGTCGGTGTTGGGGTGTGGGTCAGTGTTGGGGTGGGTCAGTGTTGGGTGGGAGTGGCTGTGGGGTGGATGGCTGCTGGGGTGGGCTGTGCTGGGGGTGGGTCAGTGTTGGGGTGGGAGTGCTGGGGTGGGGTGAGTGTTGGGGGTGGTCGGTTAGGGTGGGTGGGTGTTGGGTGGGTCGGTGTTAGGGTGGGTGGGTATGAGGTGGGTGGGTGTTGGGGTGGGTCGGTGTTAGGGTGGGTGGGGTGTTGGGGGTGGGTGGGTGTTGGGGTGGGGTGGAGTGTTGGGGTGGGTGGGGTGTTGGGGTGGGTGGGTGTTGGGGTGAGTCGGTGTTGGGGGTGGGTGGTGTTGGGGTGGGTCAGTTGGGGGTGGGTCAGTGTTAGTGAGGGCTGTTGTGGATGGCTGTTGGGGTGGGTGAGTGTTGGGGTGGGTCGGTGTTGGGGTGTGGGTCGGTGTTAGGGGTGGGTCTCTGGGTGTTGGAGTGGGTCGGTGTTGGAGTGGGTCGGTGTTAGGTGGGTGGGTGTTGGGGTGGGTCGGTGTTGGAGTGGTCGGTGTTAGGTGGTGGTGCTAGGGTGGGTCGGTGCTGGGGTGGGTCGGGTGTTGGGGTGGGTGGGTGTTAGGGTGGTGGGCATGGTTGGGCTGTGTTGGGGTGGGTGGAGTGTTAGGGTGGGTGGGTGTTAGGTGGGTGGGTGTTGGGGTGGGGTCGGTGTTGGGGTGGGTTTGTGTTGGGGTGGGGTGGGTGTTGGGGTGGGTGGAGGTTAGGTGGGTGAGTGTTGGGGGTGGGTCATGTTGGGGTGGGTCAGTGTTGGGGTGGGGTGGGTGTTGGGGTGGGTGGGGTGTTGGGGTGGGTCGGTGTTGTGGGGGTGGGTCAGTGTTAGGGTGGGGTGGGTCAGTGTTAGGGTGGGTCGGGTGTTAGGGGTGGGTCGGTGCTGGGGTGGGTCGGTGTTGGGGTGGGCCAGTGTTGGGGTGGGTCAGTGGTTAGGGGTGGGTGGGTCATGTTGGGACGGGTCTGTAAGTAGTGGGTGGGTGTTGTGTGGGTCGGTGTTGGGGTGGGTTTCTGCAAGTAGGGGTGGGTCAGTGTTGGGGTGGGTGAGTGTTGGGGTGGGTGCAGGGATGGAGGCTCTGAGCTGTGTGCCTGGGGCCCTGATGCAGGGATGGAGGCTCTGAGCTGTGTGCCCGGGGCCCTGATGCAGGGATGGAGGCTCTGAGCTGTGTGCCCAGGGCCCCGATGCAGGGATGGAGGCTCTGAGCTGTGTGCCCAGGGCCCCGAGAGCCAGGGAGCCAGGGTAGGTGACGAAGACCAGGAAGGAATTTCTGGCCCTGCCACGGGTGACCCCTCTCTCCTGAAGGCTTCCTTGGTTCACAGGGACCCAGGGACCTGCCAGGGCTGGCCTGGGTGGGGATACCACTCCCAGTGAGATAAGAGAGTGGGCACATTAACCCCTGGTGGCCATGCAGAGTTAAGTTCCATGAGTCCTGGACTGTGAGGGGCTTCTGGGGGCCTGAGAGGCCTGGGATGGGGCTGGGGTGAGGGTGGGTGGGTGTTGGGGGGTGGCTGGCGTTGAGGGTTGGGGGAGGAAGGCTCCAACCTTCAGGCCCTGGATTTCATTTCCCACTGTCACTTTCCTAGCAGTGCCCGCATACCCTCCCCCCCGACCCGCCCCCAGCTTGGGAACCCTTAACTCAGACATACTTATCAAGGGAAAGAAAACAGTCTCATTGTTCAGCAGGATAAGGACCAGCTCCCAGGAGACGCCTCAGACCCCGCCCCCGTGGGTGGAGTCCTGGGTACATGGCCTCCCCCAGGGGCCTTGGTCTCCGCCCAGGAACGGCCCAAGGGAGGGCCCCTCCCAGGAACAGTCCAGAACAGCAGGCCTCCCGGAGGAGCAGCCCTGGCAGGTGGGTCCCCGCCTTGCACGCTGCTTGCAGGTGCTGGATGCTCCGCATTGTAGGCACTGGGGACGGTCCCACTTGGGGCTTTGAGCTCCGGTGAGGCCACCCTCTGTCCAGCCAGGGGGAGGGTGCCCCTGAGAAGGGGGTTGCCTGAGGAGTGGGATTGGGATGACCCCCCTCACACTCAGTCCTGGGGTTCCTTGGCTCTTGTCCCTCCCTGCAAGTGGGGAGACCATGAGAAGTTGTGGGGAAAGGCCCCAGAGACCCCAGGGCAGGGGAGAAGGCCTGGGGGCTGTGCTGGGACCTGGAAAGGGGAGGCCTTGTGCTACTCCCTGTGGTCTGAGGGGCAGGAGGTTAGAGGGAGGGGCAGACCTGCTTCCAGCAGGGCCCCTGGATCCCCAGAGTGGGAGAAAAGTCAGTTCATGGCCCCCTCCCACCTTCAGCACTGTGCCTTTCTCCAGGCTCCACCCTGGCAGGGCTTTGGGGCCTGGGGCATCAGCTGAGCCCGCTGGGCCCACAGCACCCTCAGGACCTCCCACCCCTTGGGATCCACAGGGCAGCATTCCAGGACTTCTCCTACACCGGGGGCTCCATTCACCTGAAGGCCAAGGACTGCAGAGCTCATTAATGGTTAGGGTGGCCCGGGAGGTGGGTGAGGTTGGGGAGCCTGGGGGCACCATACGGGTATAAGAATTCATTTCGGACACCGTGTGCCCCCTTCTGCAGGAACCTTTGAGTTCAACAGCCCAGGCTCACTGCCCCTTTGGCTGGTGCCACTTCTGGGTCAGTCTCCAGGGGCAAGGACAGGTTGGCAGTGTTCCCTCTCTGCCTAACTCCAGTGTGGACCCTTCTGGAGCATCCCATGTGCCTGGCTCAGCTCAGCAAGCTGACATTTGAAAGCTCACAGCTATCCTGTGAGGTGGGTGATTCTCATGTTCGTTTCATGAATGAGGAAGCCAAGGCCAGGACAGAAGTGACCTGCCCCAGGGCCACAGCTGGGCAGGGGTGGAGTTGGCATTTGAACCCAGCTGTGTGCCTCTTGGGTGCTGCGCAGCCTCCTGTCAGTTCCTTCTGGCGCCTGGTCTGTGGATGTTCCTTCGTCCAAGGCACCTGCAGCCCTCAGAGGGTCCATGGGGTGGGGAGAGAGCTCAGTGCCCCGCACCCACCAGCACCATCTCTGACCCCTGGGCAGGCTTTGTGTTGGAGGTGGCGGCCAGGTCCTGCCAACGGAAGATGCTGGGCCTTGCAAACAGCCTGCACTGTGGGTGACCCGGCCGGCCGGGCCCAAACTGGCTGCCAAGAAAAGGGAGCGGGAAAGGAAAACAGTTCTCGGCTACGTCGCCTGTGTAACCGAATCTGCTTTCAAAGCCCCTTACAACGCGGGCTCCGCATTCGGCATGGCAGGCGCTGGCCGCCAGATCACTGAGGGCCGCTCAGGGGGTCTTCTGAGGACGAGCCCAGAGCGAGTTTGTTTTCGGGGAGAAGGTCATCGCACTCAAGGTCTGCCCCATGACTGCAGGATTCTCAAACCTCCTGCCACGTGCTGGGATACCCCCACCCACCGCAGGCGTACCCTCCGGAGGGCAGGGAGGAGAAACAGGTTTGGGCTGTTAGGGCCACAAGCCAAGGGGCCTGCAGGGCATCTTAGTGATGCTTTTGTGTCCCTGCAGTTGGCGACACCCATTGTCACACCCCCTCCGCACCCTCAGAGTCTCCCAGATGACAGACTTACCTGGGGATGCAGACGGGGGCTGGTGATGACCTTGGCCCTGTGTTTATGACGGGGTCTGCACCCAATTCTCGCCTTCAGGTGCCAATGTGGGGGCGAGAGGAGGTGTCAACTGGGCTGGGCTGGACACGACTAGACTGTGGCCCCGTCTGGGAGCCCGGCCACCACCTCAGCAACGCCACCTCCTTAGGATGTGGGGCGGGATTTACTCGGGAGACTCTTAGAGCCAGAGGGTGGCTGGAGGCTCGTAGCCTGGCCCAGGCAGCCGGGGGAGGGCTTTGCCTGGTGCCTGGAACCCCCCCACCCCCGCATTCTAGCCTTTGCTTTCTCTTTTGCTCTCATTTTTAAAAACGTCTCTCCACTCCTCCCTCCCTCCCTGCTCTGGCCTGCCTGCTCCTTCATTCCTTCTCTGCTTCTAACCCCCTGATAGAGGAGCCTGGGGAGTCCGCAGCCTCCTGACTCCATGTTCCTCTTTCTCCCCTGTCTTCCTGGAGAGGTCTGCCAGTGACAGGCTTGGAGCCCCAGCAAGGGGACCTGTCTTGGGCTGGGCTGTCCACAGAGGAGCAGCGTGGGGAGTTGGGAGCGCCCAGCCTGCCTGTGGGCTGCATTGCCACTTCCTGCCCAGGAGCCCCGCAGCCGTCTGTCCGCCTCTGAGCAGGACAGCGGGGTTTCCTGGCTAGGAGCGGAGTGTGTCACGTTCCAGTTATGTCTGCCCAATGCTCAGCTTTCGGTGAGTGTCAAAGCATTAGCCCCACTCTGTGGGTGGGAGGGGACCCGAGATGTGAATCCAGGGGAGTTAAAAGGCTTCGGAAAGCATCCAAAAGGATGGAGAAAAAAAGGAAGGTTGAGGGGCTGGAACAGTGCGAGCCTTTTATTTTCATCCTTTAACTTTTTCTGCATTTCTGTATTTTCCACCATGAACAAAGTTCATTGATAATAGAGACTCAGATATTTAATGGATGATTCAAAGAGATAATCCGAAAAGGGAAATAACATTTTTCTAGGGTCTGGCTGAAGCTTCTCTGGGGATTATGCAAAAACCTGTCTGAGGGAGTGAGAACACAGAGGCACCTTAGGCCCAGCCACCGCTTCAAGCTCTGAGGATTTGCAACAAAGACACACATTTGCTGGGCCTGGGCAAAGAGAAAAAGCCACTCGCCTTCAGCAGCAAAGGAGAAGGAGCACTGAGATCTCGGTTTGGCTTTCTGGGTGGGCACTGTCATTCCAGAGGTGCAGCTGTGGGGTGCAGTCCTGTCTGGAAATGGGGATAGCAAGGGCTGAGCTTGTGCATGCACACCTGTGTGCAGCCACACACATACACCTGTGCACACACATGCATATACACTTATATGCATATACTCATATATGTGCACACACGCAGGCCCATGCTCACATGCATGCACACCTGTGTGCCCCCCACACTTACATGCACGCGTGCACAGGCACACCTACACACACTCCTATGCACCCACCCTGTGCTCACGACACCCCTGGGTACACTTATGTGTGTACATCCAGATGCACCTGCACACTCGCACACATGCCTCTACATGTACTCCCGCGGGCACGTGCGCTCGCAGAGGCCTGGAAAGTGACGGTTTCTCCATACGACGACGTCTGCCGTGCTCGGTGGGAGCAGCCGCACTGCTGCCTGTTTCCCTGCCCCAGTCCGGCCATCACTCCTCACCCTAGTCAGGCTCAGGGTGGGGGAGGTGAGTACCCTGGAGTGGCCTGGTCACGTAGGTGGGCAACCATCTGGGGCACCAACCTCCAAATGGGCCACCAGGGCCCTTCCTGCATCTGCTGAGTCCCTGACTCAGTGCCCAGTGAGGGTCCTGGGGCAGCAAAAGAATGTTTAATGCTCCGCGTGTCGGTGGGTCTGGCCTTATGGCAACTCCTCCCTGGCGGGTGGAGTGGAGCAAAGGGCAGGCGTTCCCGTTGATCAGGAGCTGGGGGCCAGGCCTACTGACACCTTGACGCTGAGGGGGCCAGAGCAGCCCTGCGCAATGTTCCACAGGCCCAGGGTCTTGGCAGGTGGAGGCAGGCAGACCAAGCAGGGCCTTTGTGTTCCAGGGCACTTTGCAGGCAGCAGGACCCCCAGGTCCTCTGGAGAGGGTGGCTGGAGACCCGGCCTGGAGCTGCTGCCCCCGCACCTCAGGATACCTGCCTGCGTGCATCGTCCATTGTTTGGGGGCTGCACAGAGCACAGTTTTGAGCAGGGAGTTGGGTGTCACCTTGGAGCGGCTGTGAGACGTGTGGGACCCTGGGGGGCCACCTGGGGTCAAGCCTAGCCCTGCCCCTTGGGCTCTGGGACCCTGGGGGAGCCACTTGCATGCTCTGTGCCTCGGTCTGTGACCCTGGAGGAGGGTGGGGATCTCTCGGGATGATGGTTGCATCTCAAGGGTGAGGGCCCCAGGCCTGCCAGGTTCTTTGAGCACAGTCCGAGGGTGGCCTGTCAGGGCTGCTCTGGTGGGCGGCCAGTCCCTGCTGGAATGTGACTCTGTTCCTGGGATCAGAACCTGCCCTGTTGCTTGTGGACGGGGTTACTTTTGCCAGGTCCTGCCATTTCTGAGCCTCAGTTTCCCAATCCGTGGTGGGGTTGACATGAGGAAATGAGAAATGCACTCAGGGAGCACTGACTGGCACCGCAGGGCAGTGAGGAGGAGCCACCACGGTCACTCTTGGAAAAGTCCCCAGCCCTGCAACCGGCAGGGCAGTAAGAAAGTCCATGGTTTCTGCTGTCCTGGCCGCCCAAGCCCAGGAGAGGCAGCAGCCCCAGCCACACCCCTGCCAAGAGCCAGCTCAGGGGCCCGGGGCCGCTGAGATCACTGGGCAGTTCCCAGGCTGGCTGGGCTGTCCTCTGTCAGGAGGGCAGGGCTGGCAGCTTTGTGGACGCCTTCTCAGGCTGACCCCCACAATAGCTGCCCTGCTCCACCCCGAATCTACCCGTCCCAGGCTGCGCCTGCCTCCAAGTGCCTGACTGGAGATGGCCAAGCCCATTCCTCATGTGCAAAGAATTTCCCGAGCAGCCGCAGCCGCTGCAGCTGGAACTTGTCTCCAGATGGGTCGTTCTGAGGGAAACCAGCGTCTCCTGTCTCCTCCTGCAGACATGGGCTGGCGTCCGAGCCCTGGATCCCCTGCCCTGGCTTGGCTTCCTCTGGAGGGGAGATAAGGGGCTCCTGGCATCTTGTAGGCTGAAGAACTCGCCCAGCACGCTGACAGGGAGGCGCCAGAGGCAGCCGCTGACCTCCCTCAGCCCCTGCAGCCCCCTCCCCTCTTGCTGCAGACAGGAGCCCTCAGGGCCCAAGGTCCACCTACCCAGCCTGGGGGCCGTTCTGTAGCTGTGGCCCACTCCAGCCAACCCAGGACTGAGGGGCTCCAAAGCGTGCCCAGCGCATAGGGAGGGCTTATTCCTGGGGGCACCGTCTCCCAGTCGGAGCCAGCTGGAGCTGGGCACAGCCAGGGAAGAGCAAATGTGTTCTCTCCTTGACTCCTTCTCCAAGTTTGTGATGGCGTCTGCCATGGGCCAGACAGGGGGACACGAGGGTGAACGAGCGGATGTGGCTGCCTTCTGGAGCCTTCCAGGGTGGGATGGCAGGCATGGAGAGGCACACAGGGAAACTGTGGAGTCTCACTGAGGTATAGACGATGCAGAAAGGGCCAGGGAGTTCCTACAGCGACTGTCACGAGTTCCTTGGGTGGGGGCAGAGACCACCACCCAGCCCCCAGCACCTCCAGCACCATAGGCACCCTGGCTGGAGATGCCTTCCTGTCTGAGGTCAGAGGCTGCAAACCTGTGGCTGTGGTTATCCCACCATGTTTTTAAAAATTGGAACAATTCATGTAAAAGCCCAGATTTATTTTTCTTGAAAAAAATTGACAGCCAAGTGTGACCACGGTGGGCTTGTTTCTACAAGTTAGGGGCTCCTCCCTCGGAACAGGCAGTGCTCTTGGTTGCCGTAGACGCCCCCGCTCCCTGTTGTCTCACCCGGTCCCTGCTGGGCCTCTTCGTGGCCCATCCCCTGGTTCAGATATTTCATTGAAAGACCCAACCCCCCACGGGGAGGCCGTCCTTCTCAGGAAGGTCACTTGGCCTGGACTCGGGACTGGACACTCATTACCGGTCACCCTGTGACTTGAGCAGGACTTTGCCTTTCTGTGCCTCAGTTTCTCCATTGTAAGAGGGGGCTAATACTTGTGTCATGGGACTGTCCCGAGGCGCTCAGAAGCAGCGGTCTTGCTCATGCTTAAGCACAGAGCTCACAGCTGGGGACGGCCTCTTTGCCACAGGTCCCTGTGTGCACCCAACTTCCGCTGCAGAGGGCAGTGTTGTGTGTACCCATGTCTGTGCTGTGGACGCAGCGTGTAAACTGCACAGCCTTTGACGGTGGCTGCCTTTGTTGGAACACTGGCCTCTAAGTGTGCTCTCCAACAGCATATGGCCGAAGGACAGCCCCTCCTTTGGCGGGGGAAGTTCTGCACAGCTTTGGTGCTTGGGAGGTTTAGCGATGGCTTAGGGAGCCACCGAGATGGGAGGGGATACATGGATACATTTATCTCTATCTTCTTGGGGACAGACCTCGGAGGTCCCTCCTTCTCCCTCCTTCACCCGTATCGGCCTGGGTGAATGGAATCTGCGGAGCAGGTTTCTCAAAGCAAGCCTGGCGGGGCCCTCACAGGCATTCCTGGAAGCGGGCTGCGGAGTTGAAACACAAGGAGGAAATAAACAGAAATAGGCTTAGGAAGGGTCTCTGCCCTCCGTCTTTGGTGGGCTCAGGAGCCCTGCCTGGGGCTGGGAGGGAGAGCTCAGATATTTACGTTCTCTGAGGCACTGATCGTGGCTCTGCGACGGTTTCTCGCAGAAAGGAGGTTTCCCCGGACAGACATCTTTCAGCGCCGCTGGCCTAAGCCACGGGACAGGTCTGACTGTGGCTCTGCGTTCCCCACCGTCCCAGCTGTTGCCCCTCCCCGCTGAGAGCTGGGGGAGGGACGGGATCTTTTCTCTGTGAACTGACTTCAGCTTGTGGAGTCCTGGGGTCTCAGAGCCTGGGGAGGGAGGAGTGGGGCTCTCCCTGTTCGGGTTCCTTTTCTGGGTGAGGCGGGGCCTGTTTACCAGGCAGACCGGGGGCTCCCCAGCCTCCGCAGATCTCCTGGTGTCTCCCCCAAGGCTGTTCACACTTTCCTTACTTGGGGGCTGATAAGTCACGCAGCTGGCAGCATTTGCACCTGATTCAAGGAGGGGAACATTTTCCCTGGAGATAAGCCTTGAAGTCAGGGCTAGTCCCCACCCGGGGACAAGGAGAGGACAGAAGGCTACAGAGGGCTGCACTGGGGAGGGTGGATGGGGCGTTCCCCCACCCCTGCTGCGGTCTTTTCGTTTGTTGGTTTTGCCTGAGGTCTGATAAGCGCCCTGCTCCAGCCAGAGGCCTTATCTGGCCGCATAATCCTCTGGCCTTGGCTGGAGAACACCAGGGCTTTGCCCAGTCCGCCCTCCCCACCCCTGCCTTGGCCCCTGCAGGCTGTTGGGGCTGGGGGTGGAGGGAGACGGGGGTGGCGTGAATACCTCCTTCCTCTTGCTCTTTCTCTTCCAACAAGGCAAGGGGTGCTGGTGGTTGAAGAGGCCCCTCTGGGCAGGAACCTGTCACCTGGGGCACAGGTGAGTGGGAGCCATCCTCCGCTGCCCACCTCCCAGCTGTGGCCCTGAGCTACACTGGCCCTGTGGCCACGGACCGGTTGACCAGGAAGCCCTGGGAGTCAGTAGGAAATGAGTTTGAGACTGGGTCCTCCACACAGGCTTCTGGGCACATAGACTCAGGCTCGGCAGGAGGCCCTCCTGGTACAAGTTCCAGCCCTTCCTTCATTTTGTGTCTGCAGCAAGTCAGCACCCCATGTGCCCAGAGTGCTCATCCAAGAAGTGGGGTGATGAGCCCAGCCTCGCAGGGAGGTGGGAGGTGGGAAGAGCTCACCCCGGTCTGGCTCATGGTCCTCACAATGATGGCATCATTGTCATCATTATCATCATCCTTGTCAACCACTTAGAGCTCATGAAGATAGCACTCTCCATCATGCCCTGTTTTATAGCTGAAGACCAATGAATTCAGGCTCCATAAGGAAGAACCTAGAGGGCCCCCCAGGTCAGCCTGCCCCAGCCTGGAGCTTATCCACCATGGAAGTGTGTCTGTTGGCCTTAAAGAGGAGAGGGCATTTGGGCAGGGCTTTGAGGTATGAGTAGGAGTTTGCTGAGTGAAATGAGAAGAAACGGTTTTCAGGGCAGAGGGAACAGGTTAGGGGTAGTAAGAAGGATCTTGAGGCCCATAGAGAGTGACTGCTATGAGTGAGTGGTTGAAACTGGGGTGACTGAAGATGGGGAAGGACACCTGGGGGTCGGGGGTGCCCAAGGAGTTGGGGATTTATCTGGAAGATGGTGGGTGCTAAGGCAAGAGAATCCATTCCTTTTTCTTTTTGCAAAAGCAAAGCCCTCCATAGGATTTCCTTTTGGACTTTCTTTTTGAAAGAGTAATGCACGCTGACAGTAACCATTTAGAAAATACAGTTTCTAAAAGAAAAGCAATGATCCTTTGCCTCTCCCACACACCACCCTTTCCCCACAAGCCCCCGGAAGCCTGGGCGTCTGCTCTCCCTGCCTTGACAGCTGCAGGATGTTTTGCGATGGGGTGCGTGAGGAGCTTTGGCCAGGCCCTGGAGATGGACACGCAGGTATGTCCAGTTTTCCCAGCCCAAGTAAATGGCTGCAGTGAGTGGCCTTTCCAAGTTCCCCGAAGGGGGTTTGTGGGGACAGTTACAGACATGTCATTTAACAGATCCCTTCCAGAAATGAAGGACATCTCGGCCATGCACTGGCAGGCCTGGTTCCTGCCGCTCCACACCTGATGTTTTTGTTTAAAATGTTGGGCCACTGGAGAGGTGAAGGCACTCACCTGTGCCTGTGGCACTTTACTACCCTGAGTGTGCCCTGCACCTCTCACTGTCCTGAAGTGGCTCGGCCCTCGGGCTTTACCTGGGCCTTCTGCACCTGAGCCTGGGCTTGGCCCAGCATGGCCAGTGGGCTCCGGGCCCCTCCTGCCAGCTGAGGACTTCTGAGACAGAAGCCTGGTGCAGCAGGCCGGCAGCTCTGGACTTTGAGCCTGGGCCCTTGACGGCCAGGGAGAGGGCGTCCCCCAGCACACACTACCCTAACCTTTAGCAACATCCCAACGGCAGATGAGGGTGCTAGCCTTGAAAGTTGGGTGTCCCGAGGGTTGGGGCAGGAGGGCAAGGGGCCGCCCCAGGGAGGTGGTGCATGACACAGCCTATAACAGGCAGTGACTCACTGCTCATCCAGCCATAAGTCAGGGTGACAGGCTCAGTGTCCCAGCCATGATCCCTGGAGTTCCTGCCCCAACGTCATTCCCCTCCCTGCAGCCTGCGCTGGCAGAGCTCCCTCCCCAGGGGGGCAGCCTGGGCTACTCTGGGACCATCCATTCCCCATTCCAGACCCACCCATTCCAACTCATTGGCTACTGCTGGGGAAACTGAGTCCCAGGGAGGGGGAGCAAGGGTAGATGGAGAACTAACAGTGTCACAGTCCACAGGTCATCTGTCCCCCGCTTTACAGAGTGGGCTGCCGAGCTCAGGGCCAGGATGCTCAGCTTGTCCAGGCTGCGATCTGGAGGAAACAGGCACCTCTGCTCAGCCCAAGGCCCTCCATGCTTCTGGGGGCTGCGGGGACAGATCCAAGGACGTGGGCCCTGGGGCCACTGTGTCTGATTCAAACCACACTTCCTCCCTATTGACACCAGGCAACCTGCCGAGCCGCTCTGTGCCTCAGTTTCCTCATCTGTAAAGTGGGATTCATAGTAGCTCCTTCCCGAGCCGCTCTGTGCCTCAGTTTCCTCATCTGTAAAGTGGGATTCATAGTAGCTCCTTCCCGACTGGGCCGTGTGGGGATTGGTGAGTGATGCCGTGGGGCAGGATCATGATTTACGGGGTGCCTCTATGTTCTCCCAGAGAAGGGAAGGGCCCTGGGGGACCCACTCCCCACCAGATAGCGGAGTCTCCCAGGGACTAAGCAGGCGGGAGAGATGGGAGCTGCCCTGCTGTGCAGAGCCTTGGCGGGATCCCTCGATGCCGTCCCCAGGCTCTGCAGGGCCAGGAATAGGGCCGCTGGCGCTGGGGTCCTTGTAGTTCAAGGGTCACCCTGGACTTCGGGGCTCTAACTATAGAGACCCTGAAGCAGTGATGTTTGCGCAGCCTGCCCGCCTGTCACTCCCTCCCCTACCCCCACCCTCGCCCTGCCCCGCCCCTCACCCTCGCCCTGCCCCGCCCCTCACCCTCGCCCTGCCCCCTTGTCCCGCCCCTGGCACCCGCCCTGACCTTCCCCTCCTGTGATGGGTAATACTGAGCGTCAACTTGATGGGATGGAAGGATGCAAAGTATTGCTCCTGGGTGTGTCTGTGAGGATGTTGCCAAAGGAGATTAACATTTGAATCAGTGGCTGCGAAAGGCAGACCCACCCTCAATCTGGGTGGGCACCATCTAATCAGCTGCCAGCTCTGCTAGGATATAAAGCAGACAGAAAATCGTGAAAAGGCTAGACTGGCTTAGCCTCCCAGCCTGCAGCTTTCTCTGTGCTGGATGCTTTCTACCCTTGAACACTGGACTCCAAGTTCTTCGGCTTTGGGACTGGCTTTTCTTGCTCCTCAGCCTGCAGATGGCCTATTATGGGACCTTGTGATCATGTGAGTTAATACTCCTTCATAAACTCCCCTTATATATACATCTGTCCTGTGAGTTCTGTCCCTCTAGAGAACCCTGATGAATACACTGCCCCTCACCCTCACACTGGCCCTGTCCCCCTCCCACCTGCTGTGCTCAGCACCCCTGCCTGTTCCTCCCCATGCCACGTGGAGCTCTGGACACAGGGCGATCACAGAAACTGGCTCCTTCCAACTTTTGTCACCTCTGGGGAAACTGAGTCCTGAGGTAGGGGAGCACTGTAGCCTGGAGAGCTGCACAACTGTGGACCCCCACCCCAGAGGGAGGCTGGGAGGAACCCCTGTGTGCAGGTACAGTGCCTAGGACGGTAGACCCAGGGAGCTCTGGAGGAGGGGATGCCCAGCCGATGAGAAGACGTGTGAGGGGGACCTCCAGATGGGTTTCAGGGCCTGCGGCTGCTAAGTGACCTCCTGCCTGTGCCTGCTCCCCGCTCCAGCTGTGCGCCCCTGACTCCCACCCTCACACTAGTCTGCTCTTCTGAAGGGCATGACTTGGGGACCCGCTGCCTGCACTCACGCTCCTGTCTCCCTCCCTTTCTCCTTCCTCTCTGCCTACCTGGAGCCAACATTGAGCCTCTAATCTGTGCCAGGCATCCTCACACCCCCTTTTCTCTTTGCAGGCCCTTCTTTTGCAGGAAGCCCCCCTGAGCCCTCACCCGCACCCCAGAGCGCCCTCTCCTCTCTCCCAGCTCCACCCACCCCACCCCCACAAGGCTCCCAGGGGAGCCTCTCCCTGGCCCTGCCAGGTTCCCACTGTGCACCTCCTTTGGTGTGGTTGGGGATTCTTTCTCAGTGTGACCTAGGGGGGCATCTAGAGGAGCTGCCCAAGGGGAATGGGCTTCCGTGTTGGGCTTCAGAGGCTGAGTAGGAGTTTTCCTAGAAAAGGCACAGCAGCAGCAGGGGCCTGGAGGCCTGTAGGGAGAGCGGCCACTGTGCGGGGTGGGCCTCCACCCTGATGGCCTCACTGC